TGAAATCATGAATGAGATTCAAAAAATAAATTTCCTTAATTTTTTAGATAATTTGCTCACATGGTTAAAAAATTAGCTAGTATGAAAGGGCTTATCTTATTTTTTTTTATTGTGCTTTAGGTGAAACTGCAGAGTAAATTAGTTTCTCATTCAACAGTTTATACACAAATTGTTTTGTGACGTTGGTTGCAATCCTTGCAATGTGTCAATACTCTCCCCTTCTACACCCCAATTCCCCGTTTTCCATCCATCCATTTTTCTTGTCCTTGCCTGCCTTCTCGTCATTGCTTTTGGGCAGGTGTTGCCCTGAAAGGGCTTATTGAAAGCAGCTACCTTCTGCTTCACCTCTTGCTCCTTCTTCCTTACCCCCATTCTGTCTGCTGCTCCTCTGAGACAGCCACTCTTAAATATTGTAGCTGTTTCTTCTGGTATCTCTTTGTTACAATGTGATTTCTTACTTCTTAATAGCAGTCCTTCACTTGCTACTATGGTGGATGGGGATTTAGCTGACATACACGCCCCATCCCCTGTTATCTGTTGTTCCGTCAACTAAGGGCATTGTTCTTATCACTTGTATCTCTGAGAATCCTTCTCCAACCACTGTAATATATAGTCTGTCAGGCACCCATCATCACATCAACCTATTTTAATTCTCTGCATGCCACTTATCACTTAGCTCTTACTAATTGTGTTTGTGTTTGCGTGTTGCCTCCTACTAGAGCGTAAACCCCACAGAGCAAGAACCTTGTCTTTCTTGTTCATCCTAAATTCCCAGTGCATAAAGTAGCATTTGGCATAAAAATAGTTGTTGCATGCATGAATAAAAAAATCCGTCATCTGTGTTGTCCATATTCCAGATTACAGCTAATATGAAGATTTTATCATTTTAATGTTAGCAGTTTGGTGAATTCTCAGCACATGTCAAGTGCCGTACGTGCAGCACTGTTGCATGGTGGTTAGGACAATAGACTGTAAAGCCTTCTAGGTTCATTTCTAAGTGTTTTATATCTCTGAGCTTCCGTTTTTCCATCCATAACATGATAATCCATCCTTCTTATGAAGACTAAATGAGATAATATATATGAAGTGCTTGGCACAGTGCCTGAGATGTGGTAAGCACTTAATGAATCCAGATCAAGGTAATACTCCTAGGAGTGGAGTGTTTGGAACTAGACAGACCAGCATTCATCTTTCCCTGCTGACACCTGATGAGACTCCAGCAAGCTTTTTCACCTCTTTGCCCTTCTTTTTCCTCATCTGTAAAGCAGATAATGACTTCCGTAAGGTTGTTTGAGGGTAAACTGTGTTTCTTTCTTTCTTTCAGCACATTTTTATTAAGCACCTACTGTATGCACTGTTCTAAGTGCTAGGGGTACAGCAGTGAACAAGACAGACAAGATCACTAGTCTCTGAGAACCTATGTTTTTTTAGGACAGGGATTGGCAGACATTTTCTGTAAAGGGCCATGTGATCTCTGTTGCAGCCACTGAACTCTGCTGGTGTGCAAAAGCAGCCAAAGTTGATATGCAAATGAATGGGTGTGGCTGTGTTCCAAAAACACTTTCTACAAAAACAAGTGGGCAGCCTACAGGCTGTAGTTTGGTGACCCCTGTTCTAGG